CAGGACTTTCCCCCCCCCCCCCCAGGAGATTCGCCCCCCTCTCAAAAGGGGGGGGGGTGATATTCCTAGGAATATCGCCCCCAGGGGGCGAATATCCTAGGAATATCGTCCTCCCCCCTTTAGGATATTCGCCCCCCATATATGCGATGTGGTTTATTCAGAGAATTTCGTGATACATTCATCTTATTAGTGCCTTACACGTTTGAGAATTTAACTCTGCAAAACTAAAGCTTTTTTGTCTTTTTTGAAACGTATTATTGGAATATTGGCAAGTTTTACCATTCAGAGATTTACAAACTAATATTGAAACTGTAAAAAAACAGCTTCATGTATACGCGCATTCACTAATGAGTAATGACAACTTATAAGCCATACATTTTCCGATAACGACAAAACGCTTGTTTTTTTAGAGGGGGGGGGGCAGAAAATAATTGGGGGGGGGGCATTTGTCTCCCCCATGCCGTCGCCACTGCATGAAGCATTACCAACCGTAGTACCTTTTTAAAAATTCGATCTTGCCCCCCCCAAATATGAATTTGCCCCTCAAATTGCCCCCCCCCAAAAAAAAAAAAAATTCTGAGGCCTGGCACCGCCATGGCAACCGTAGAAGCATTTGTCTGATACGTTGTGAATTTTTTTATTGCAAAATCGCTCCTGGCTTGTAAAATTGCTTGTAGCCACGCATTTAGCAGGGCTGCACTTTTGAATTTAGAGGGTCAGCTTTTAATGGACGGAAGCGGACAGCTCCACTGAATTGCAATGGTGACACTAATCCTTTAAAATGTTATAAAACAAAGAATGAGTTGAAGCTGGCTGGTAAACTTTCATCTCTGAATCTATTAAATTAAATGATATGTCTTTTTATAATGTTCTGTTCTTTCTACTTTCCAGCTATTTAAACTTCCAGCAATATAGTGAGTATATACTTAAAGTTGAGTTTTTATAAAATATTCTAAATCAGACCATGGTCAATCAAAACATGCTCTGGAAACTCAGCAACTTCAAAGTCTTTATAATGAGTTGTAATTCTATGTTGAAATGGCTTTCACTCTGCACTAATCGTCAGAAATGTTTGCTTATTAATTATTATTACAACAGTGCAGTTGAATGATTTGGGGAGACTTTATTGGATGATTACGAGGTTATTGGATGATTGCTTCATTATGCAAAAAGTTCATTGTTTTCACCAGACACAAGTCTACACTATTGTAGATAAACATGAACGAAAAGATAGAACAAAGACTTTGGGCGAGTTGCCAGAGCATATCTTGACTATGATCAGCCAAACAGACCCAGGCCAGATTCAATCCCGCACACTCCTTGGCATGCGTAAACAACACCTATAACGAATACCCGACCAGCTCACTGAATGCAACCTCCCCCCCCCCAATTTTATATTATTAATATGTAAGCTTGGGCAGTTTACTGGTTTTCCAGTTTTTCTCGGTTTTGATTTTAAAACCTTTTTTCAACAACCAATTTATAGCAACGTTGTTATATTTTCAAAACTTTTAGGACATAAATTGCCTAGATACTATTCATATCAGTGATATCACCATTCATATTACCTTAATATTATATTAAAAATTGCATTTCGTTGGTGAGACATTGACCATTATTCAATACTGGAATGCATTATTAAATCCCTGAAATCATTAAAAAACAGTTTACAGTTTAACCAGTATTGACTTTTTTTTAGTCAAAACCACCCAAGCTTACTAATATGAAATGTCAGCTGTTAAATGAACAGCAGTTTTACACTTTTACTAACATTTTTTTATTACGTCCCATATATATGACAGTATATAGTTTATCTGTTTATGTATATGTACAGTATGTGAGTATGTATTGTCTGACCATGCCCATCATAAAACCAGCTTTTACAGATGAGCCTATCATGCTTAAATAATGTTTGTTTGTTCGTATGTATGTATGTATGTAACTGAAGTTTCCCTTTGACTTTGTGACCTGTAGGTATTATAAATAGCTAGTACTTTGAAATGCCAAACTGGATCCCACAATCATTTTCTGATTTTCATTAAAACCCCTTGATTTGTAACTTTGAAACCCATCAATCTTTTGCCATTACTCAAGTACACAATATTCCAATCATTTTGACTTCTTCTTTATGGACTCTTTAAGAGTATTCACCCATTCAGTCGCAGTCTCAGAAACATCAGGAATTCCAGTGTAATTTTGTTGCACATAGCATCCAGCCAAGGTTCCAATAAGTAGTCCTAGGATTAAATTTTTATTGATATGCGATAGAATTACACCAGCAGCAAAACCTCTGATGAACGACCCACTAATTTCTCTTTTATCGTTTGAATTGTTCCTGTCTTTATCGTCCGCCATATTGGATTCCTAGGAAGTACTTCATGTAAATAGAAAATCAAGTTCGTATTTACTATTTACCCATTTAAGAGCGTGTGTCTCTAAAAACCGCCCACTGACTTGGGGCTCGAAAAATAAATTCCTTCGAAACTTTTACCGTGAACTACATTTACTTTAACAACAAACAAATGCTGTTTGGAATTTTGAAAATATATTTAGTTTCAAAGTTTTA